CGCATGTATCAGGGATTCACTTAACCCATTTTTGAGGAAATACCGAGCTTCTGCTTGAACTGAAGCACGAAGGAAAATTGAGAGAATTTAATATTTCCATGATAACACGACCTCTTGATCAACAGGGCAAGTGCAAAATTACACTAGTACTTAATTAAGACCACGTGGGAAAAAGGTTTCTGAAGTGAATGCACTAAGCTGGCCCATAAAAATTAGGGGTTGTCCCTTCAACAAGCAAAAGGCGTACTTACAGTCGTTCCTGAAATCCGGGAAATTTGGCGTTCCCACCAGTGATGATACAGTTAGCCCAGGCTCCTGGACGTACACTAGGGGGCAGCTTTTCGGAAATTAGATATGCAACAGCCTCGGCAATTCCCATTTCCGAAAATCCAACGTCACTGGGGTAAAAGAGTAGTTCAGGAACCGTAAACCGTTCATTCGCGAGGCGTAACCTGTAGCTTTGCATTTGGGATGACGCTACATCATTTCGATCATTTGAAGGCTTCTGAAGGTAACCCCGATGAATGTCAACATAGTCTGGTAGTACGTACTCGCAAAGAATACTGTTAACGGATGGGTCCTTAGACCTGCAATACAGTTAAATAAAAAGATGAAATCCATTCAGACAAAGAAAATGCAGAAGTCGATAAAAAATCAGACGGAGTACAGAGACCGCACTAATCTAGAATGCGCAGGTTACAGACAAGAATAATCATATCCTCAGTGTGTGAAATCTTAAGGTTGCATAAAGGCGCAATTACTTTAGAAGAATGATATAAAATGACAGCCATGAAGAAGAAAAGACTGGTCAATTCAACCAACGGGGATATAAATTTTGAGCCTAGAGTTCATTTATTCAACGGAATTAGGTTTTAACATGATATACTTGTTACGCTATGAAAATAAAGCAAAGAAAATGGCGCCTAATGCATAGCACGAACTGTGTATATGCGTGCTGAGATAAAGCAATACAGAAAAAAGTACGATGTATTTCTTTTTACTTGGAAACGGCCAAGTCAGACCAGAAATCTTTGGAAATGTAGCAAGCGTCCTCCTTGCACTGATTCATAATGTATGTCTCGCTTCGGACATCAAGTTGCCTGAAACCATTTAAAAAATGTCGAATGGAGTTACCGATAGGATGTGACTTCAATCAATCGGTTTGTAAGGATCTTGCCTCCGATAGAAAGTCTAAATAGGAGATTCGATAACTAATTGGACCAGACCTTAAAGAAAAATCCTTCATTATTCTTCCGTCAACTACCGGAAGGATGTGTGTGAAGGAGTATCCACTATCGATAACCAAAGAGTAGCGAGACATATGCTGAGTAGGCCCACGCTGGTACTTGTAGGTAGAAAGAAAAGCCGCTAAAGAACTATGGGTCAGAAAAAAGTGTTGCAACATACGGTTAGCACGGACAAGACCAGATACAAGGTAGTCCTCAAAAAAAATTTCGTTCATAGTTTCTTTAGTAGACGAAAAGTTGAAGTATGGTTCTGTGACAATAACATTTAAGTCTGTCATTCCAAACGATTTCTAGGAAACATAAATAGGCAAGAAAATTCTTACAGATTCAAAAAAGCTGTCGAAGACGCTATCAAGAATCTGTTTTTGAACTTCCCAATTTGAGATATAACCCTAGGATCATAAGGAGCCTCATGGATACGATAACCTTTTTGAATGGAAAAGTCCCATATAAACTTGATAGATTCTTGCATTCCTCTACTTGATGACCGATAAATTGACGATTTGAAACGTTCTTTGATTTGTAGATGCAGTTGTCAGAGATCCTATAATGATAGAGTAGACTGATATTGCACGTACGAAGGCTCCGAATCTGTCGACAGTCCCAGTTTTATGGTGCCACCACCAAGGTCAAGAACAAGAGCCGAATCCTTCATCAGATCAAAGTGAATAAATATGGAAAGTCGTTGTTCTGTAAAGAATTCAATGAAAAGGATGAACTCGACGAAAGATGAACGAGGAAGGAAGACATGTTGGGCAAAATAAATTACATTAAGCCGTGGAAAAGTAACTCAGAAAAATTCTCTTTTGGTGTATAAACCACCCAGAATAGCTAATTACACGGTCTTGCAATGGTCATAAGTTAATTAAGTCATAACCGGGTCGTATATGTCTGGGATTTGAGCACCCTCACCGAATATTGGTATGTACATACTAATATTCGGTGAACGACGTTGTTCACACAGTAACTGATCAACAACGGTCAATAAATGCCCTAACAGTATCATCGATTAAAAAGGGCGTCAATAAACAGCAATAAGCTGAGTTTTTCATTTTGGAAGCGGCCGAAACTGGAGCACTATCTTGAAAATCTCCGTTTACCTATCCGGTCAACCATAACAGGGTCCGTAATGGAATCACTTCCAATGAGTCATCAGATGTACGTTTTTATTTACTTATTTTCCCGAAAACCAAAATGGTAAATATAAACTTTTCATACTTAGTCGCTTTCCCTAAGCTCTCGTTTGTGCGAAGAGCTGTCTATCATTTTTCGCGGCATGCTCTAATCATATGACTGCGTTTGAGAAACAGCCAGATCTAGTTGGTAATTTAAGATAGAAAATAAATAGCTCAGGTAAAGTATGCGGTCTGTGAAAGTATTATGAGCAGTCTGTGTCGGTGGGCCTTGGATCAAAGGACAGTGAACAGAGTTACAGGCACATGCTCCATGTTTGTTTCATGTTTCATGTTTCATCAGTAGAGGGTAGGGAACGGATCCGTGG